GGAGTTAACACTGTGGAGATGAAGAGTTAACACCTGCATACGGACCTTGACTCCTAGATGGAGGAACCAAAGGCCTTTACGGAATGTTCTAGATCTCGGCCTGGACACATGAAGAAACACGGGAGGTGTCTGAGCCTGGGAGGGGTGTCTGGGAGCTGGGCCTTAGAAAGACGCCTCTTGAAAGCCTGGTGTGGTGGCTCATGCCTGTAATTCCAGCACTTTTGGAGACAGAGGTGGGCAGATCACGAGGTCAGGAGTTGGAGACCAGCCTGACGAACATGGTGAAACCCCATCTCTACTAAAAATACAAAAATTAGCCGAGTGTGGTGGCACATGTCTGTAGTCCTAGCTACTCGGGAGGCTGAGGCAGGAGAATTACTTGAACCTGGGAGATGGAGATTGCAGTGAGCCAAGATCACGCCACTGCACTACAGCCTGGGTGACAGAATGAGACTGTCTCAAAAATGAAAGAGTGGAAAAAAGAAGAAAGACGCCCCTGGGGGCAGCCGGACTGGAGGCTCAGAGGGAGGCAGCTCTGGGGGCTGCTTTAGGATCATGCTTTCCAGATCCTCCCAACACAGAAAAGATACGGCTTTTGGAAGGTGTCTGGAGGTATTTGTGGAGTAGAATGGATGCTGAAGTAGAATGTGGCCCTTAACTGTGGGCTGTGGAGAGGATAGGGCCATAGGAAAGACTGGGAATAGAATTTTGGTGAGCTTCAGGGACTCCATACTTTTATATACTAGCAATGAATAACTGAAAATGAATTTTGTTTTTTTGATACACAGTCTTGTTCTATCACCCAGGCTGGAGTACAATGGCATGATCTTAGCTCACTGCAACCTTTGTCTTCTGGGTTCAAGTGATTCTCCTGCCTCAGCCTCCCAAGTAGCTGGATTACATGAGCCCACCATCATGCATGGCTAATTTTTGTATTTTTGTAGAGACAGGGTTTCATTATGTTGGCCAGGCTGGTCTTGAACTCCTGACCTCAGGTGATCCAGCTGCTTTGGCCTCTCAAAGTGCTGGGATTACAGGTGTGAGCCACTGAACCTGGCCTGAAAATGAAATTTTTAAATGCCATCTATAACAGCACCAAAAACTATGATATATATTCAGGGAAATTTTAACAAAATATGTGCAAACATGTACACCAAAAACTACAAGATAATGTTGAAGGAAAATGGAGATATATACCACATTTATGGATCAGAAGGTTCAGTATCATTAAATGGCATTTCTTCCCTAATTGAATTATGTGTGCAAACCCAGCAGGCTTATTCTTTTTGAGAAGTTGGCAAGCCGAAATTTATATCAAAATATTAACTTTGGGCCATATAATAACCTAAACAACTTTGGAAAAGAACAAAAAGCTGAAGGATATAATTTAATTTTAAGACAATATAAATATATAGCAGTTATGTACATTACTGTAGATATAAGTATATAAATATAAATCAATGCAACAATAGAGCATCTAGAATTAGACTCATTTGTGTATGTCAATATATTTATTTCAATTGAGGTGCCAAAGTAATTCAACAGGGAAAATGGTGTTTTCGACAGATGGTAAAATGGGGTATTGATTTGGGGGGAAATTGAATCTCAACTCTTATTTCACATCATACATGAAAGTTGACTTAAAATGGGTCATGGAATTAAATTTGGAGACTCACCAATCAAATGGAGAGGAAAGCAAAACAAAACAAACAAACAAAAAACAGGAGTTGTAACTTTCGTCTCTGACAAAATAGACTACAATAGTAACCAAGACTAAAAGAAACAAAGAAGGACATTACATAATGATAAAAAGATCAATGCAACAACAGGAGTCAATGATCATAAATATATATGCACCCAATATAGGGGCACCCACATATATAAAACAAGTTTTCAATGACTTATAAAGAGACTTGGACTCCCACACTAATAGCCGGAGACTTTGACACCACATTGTTAATATTCGCTGGATCAACGAGATAGAACATTAACAGAGACATTTATGATTTGAACTCAGACCTGGAACAAGTAAACTCAGTGAATATTTATAGAATTCTTCACCCCACGTCCACAGAACATAAATATATATATTTTAGTATCACATTACACCTATTTTGAAAGTGACCACATAAATGGAAGCAAATCACTCTTCAGCCCCTGCACAGCATATCACAGATTTAAACGAAATATTGTTTGGCTGTTTGTTTGTTATTTTCTTTCCTTATTCCTTCCTGTCTCTGCTGTTAAGCACAATCATCAGCATAAAAGAGGTTTTTAATACCTATTTCTAGATTGCATTCCAGCCTGGGCAATAGAGCAAGACTCCTGTTCTCTCTCCCCCTTTTCTCTTTCTCTTTCTTTCTTTAAAAAAAAAAAAAAGAACTAAATTTAAGAGCTAAGGTTATCAAACTCCTAGAATAAAGTATAGGAGAAAATATTGTAGCCTTTGGATAGGCAAATGTTTCTTGTGTAAGAATAAGAAGCATGAACCATACAAAAAAAAGTTGAGAAGTTAGACTTAAGTTAAAAATTTCTCTTGTCCCAATACTCCATTAAGAACATGAAATGGCAAGTTATAGCCTGGGAGAAAATATTTGCAATACATACATCTGCATAGAACTTGTACCCAGAATTTATGAAGTTCTCATCCAATTCAGTAAGGATACAAACCACCCAATACAAAAATGGGCATGGTACGAATTCTAAGATGACCCCAGTGACCCATACCCTTGTATAATTATCTCCCCTTGAATATGGGAGTTCAATATTATGGATCTCATTCCTGTGATTAGGTTACATTATATTATGTGAAGGTATTTTGGCAGATGTAATTAAGGTTCCTCATCAGTCGACTTTGAGCTAATGATACAGGAACTAGAAATTTAGGCAGATAGGGTAAAGGGATCCTCAGCAAGGCTTCCCTTTTAACAAAAAGCAGCCTCCAAATAATTTCTAACAAAGAGCCTGAAAATTGAGCTGTAGACATAGATAAGCAAACTGGAAGCTTGCATGGGTGAATACCGGCAGCTATGAAGCCAGGTATGTTCAACATGGAGGCTCCATCTTCCCTTTTCTTTGTCACCACATGTATAGTAAAGAACCAGACAACATGGCACCAGCCAGGCAGAGAACCCATCTGCATAAGAAAAGATTAGGGTGGGGTGGCCAGCTTCTTCTTGAGCTATGCAAATGGCCGGTCCAACCAATCATTCATGCTCTATGTAAATCAGACACCATCTTCTGAAACTCATCTATAAAACCCCCTGCATTCCACTGTGGAATTGGCATCCCATTTTCCCTAGGATGCTTCTCTGCACAGAGAGTTCTTCTCTTTTATCTATTAAACTTCTGCTCTTAAACTCACTCTGGTGTGTCCACATCCTAGTTTTTCATAGCTGTGAGGCAACAAATCTGTGTTTGTCCCAGACAATGACGCAGCTTCACTAATCAAAAGGGAGATTGTCCTGGGTGGGCCTGACCTAATTAGGCAAGCCTTTAAAAATGAGGCTCTTGAAGCAGAAGAGAAACTCTACTGTTGGCCTGGAAACAAACCACTATGAGTTCTACAGCTGCAGAGAAATGAATTCTGCCAACAACCACATGTGCTTGGAAGAAGACCTGAGTCTCAGATCACACTGTAGCCCAGGCTGACACCTTGACTGCAGCCTTGTGAGACTTGGAGCAGAAGACCTAGCTGAGCCATGCCTTGCCCGTGGAAACTGAGAGATAATAAATGGATTTTAGTTTTTGGTTTAGGCTGATCAATGTGATATACAGAAAACTATAATAATAAAATAAGCAAAAGATATGCAGATACTTCATAAAACAAGATATCTGGATAGACAAGAAGTTCAACATCAGTCATCAGAGAAATGCAGATTGAAACAAAAATGAACATACTCCACATACGAACACAAAATAGAATGGCTGAAGTTGGGGGTAAAAAACCTGACAATACCAAGTGTGGCAGCACCTGGAATTCTCATAGACTGCTATTGAAATGTAAAGTGGTACCACCACTTTGAAAAACAGTTTGAATGTTGCTCATAAAATTAAACCTATCATATGGCTCAGTTATTCCATGTGTAGATATTTACCCTAGAGAAATGGTAACATACGTCCACACAAAGACTCACAGATGAAATGTTCACTGTACTTTTCATAATAGCCAAAAAGTAGAAACCACACAATTGTACACCAATAGGCAAATGAATACACAAACTGTGCTGTATCCATACAAGGGAACGCTACTCAGCCATGGGAACCTTTTGAGGGTAATGGGAATTTACATAATGCAATGGCTGTGGCGATGACTACACAGGTGTATACATTTGTCAAACTCATCCAACTTCAGATTTTAAGTGGGTGCATTTTATACCCAAATTATACCTTGGTAAAGCTGATTTTTTTTAATTGCATTTTAGGTTTTGGGGTACATGTGAAGAACATGCAAGATTATTGCATAGGTACACACATGCCAGTGTGATGTGCTGCCTTTCTCCCCATGCTATCTCTCCCCAACAAGCTGATTTTTAGAAGTTCACCATCCCAGCATGATTTGCTCAAAAATGATCCCACAGTGAGGGAAAAACTAATGATGCAGGTGGATAGAGGTCAATTGTAGGAGGGATGACCTTGAGTAGGAAGTAGGGTGTGGTCCAGTGCTTAAGAGGAAGAATCAGCTATTAATAAAATCTGGGGTAGTTTCCATGTTTTCCCAGTTAAATAGGAAGCAATGTAACAGCTGAGAGTAAGGAGAGGCAGGGCTGTGGGAAGTATAAGAGATAAAAGGGTGTGAAAGTTATTTCAGAGAGTGGAGAGAAAAAATGGTCCCCAGGTCTGCCACCCATACCTTCCTACTCCCTGACACTTCCCTTTCACCTTGGAACTCTATTTCATATTCCTTTTCCTCATCACTGTTTTATTTGAGCAGCGTGAAGAGGCATCAGTGTCTGCTTAGAACCTTAGACTTGTTACCATCGTTAGACACACCAGGCCACATGACGTAAGACCCTGCAGGGTGGGGCTCCACTTTCTGTCCCTGCACAGTGCTCCTGGTTCCCTGAGAAGCTTCTGCTTCACTTCCCAGGTCTGCCACTGGCAGAGCTCTAGGGCTTTGAGAAAGCAATGGGTTACCAGAAAACAGCCTGATATTGGGGGGTCCTGGCAAGCAGGCAGGGGCTGGGGAAATTCATGAGAGAGATTTGCTTAAGTGGAGTGACGAGGATGATGGGGAACCTGGAAGTGCAAGGGCCCCTCATGACCAGGGCTAAGAGGAGGAAATTGGCCTGAGGCCTGAGGCCTGAGACCAGAGAGAAGTCTTGGTGCTCAGATTTGGCTCTTGCTCTGCTCCTCTGGTTCTTCAACAGTGGCTCTGCAGAGAAGTCAGCTCTGACGCGAGCACTGCTTTCTAGCTTTTCCTAAAGAAGTGCTCAGGGCATAGTCCTCCTATGCCCTAAATCTTTGCCTCTACCTGCCCCTGTCCCCCACCCCAATCCAGCAGCTCCTGCACTAGAATCTTCCTATGGCTCAGGCTGTGGACTTGGATTTTCCCAGGGCTACCAAGTGTATGTATAGCCAGGGCATCCAATGGGCTGACTCGAGCAGAATACCCAGCCTGGTTTCCCCGTCAGAAGAATGCAGCTCTAGCCTCATCCATTGGGACCAACTCCTCCACCAAGGGGACCTTATGGATATCTGTTACTTCTTCAACTTCGATTCCTGTTGTGTCTCACCCTTAAGGGACTCTTACTTGGGTCTTGCTGGGACTGAGACATATACCAACTGCCATTCCCTGGTGTCTGCATGGACACTCAACTGACAGAGACAACTCTGAGATCTGTGGTTTTCACAAACAGTATTCACCACTAAGGAAAGTCACCTCAACTTAGAGCCTAAGAAAGAAAGGTCTGCTTGTTTCCAGTAGCCATTTAGATAGTTATGGAGCTAGAATGTTACTAAAAATCTAATGCTTTTATTTATTTTTATTTTTATTTTTTTTTAGGGAGGGAAGGAGGAAGGGAGGAAGGCAGAAAGGGAGGGAAGGAGGAAGGGAGAGAGGAAGGAAGGGATGAAGGAAGGAAGGGAGGAAGGGGTGGAGGGAGGGAGGGAGGGAGGGAAGGGAAGGGAAGGGAAGGAAGGAATTCAAGCAATGAGAGAGACATTGCCGACCTGAATCTAGAGGTTTACAAGTTGATTTCTTTTTTTGAGAGAAGGAAAGAAAAAAAATGAGTAAAAGAGAGAAAGAAAGAGGAAGAGAGAGAGGGAGGGTGAATGGAAATATTGCTTTATTCTGAAAAAAAAATGGGTATTAATAATGGCCAATCAATGTTTCATTTAAACCTATGAGTAGGTATGATGTGGTATTGACAAGAATGTATATTTTATGTATTTGAAGTGGAGAGCTCTATAAATATTTATTAAGTTTACTTGTTCTGGATCTGAGTTTGAGTCCTTGATATCCTTATTAATTTTCTGTCTCATTGAATCTAAGTCTCTAAGTATCTGGGTGTTAGGATCGTTAGCTCTTGTTGTTGTATTGATCCTTTTACCACTATATCTTTGTTGCTTTAAAATATTTTATCCGCTATGAGAATTGCAACTCCTGCTTTTCATTTATTTATTTATTTTTGCTCTCCATTTGGTTGGTAAATCTTTCTCCATTCCTTTGTTTTGAGTCTTTGTGTATCCTTGCATGTGAAACAGGTCTGGATGTAACATGCCGTTGGGTTTTGGCTGTTTCTTTTGATTGGGGAATTTAGTCTATTTAAATTTAGGGTTACTGCCATTTGATGTTAACTGGCTGTTTTATCCATTCGTTGATGAAAATTCTTCTTTATGTTGGTGCTCTTTACTTTTTGGTATATTTTTAGTAAGGCTAATACTGGTTGTTTCTTTCTGTGTGTAATGCCTCTTTCAGAAGCTCTTGTAAAGCAGGCCTGGTGGTGATGAAATCTCTGAGTTCTTGCTTGTTCATAAAAGATTTTATTTTTCCTTCAGTTGTGAAGCTTAGTTTACCTGGATATGAAATTCTGGGCTGAAGGTTCTGTTCTTTGAGGATGTTGAATATTGGCCCTCACTGTCTTCTGGCTTGTAGAGTTTCTGCTGAGAGATCTGCTGTAAGTCTGATAGGCTTGCCTTTGTGGGTAACCTGACCTTTCTCTCTGGCTGCCCTTAGTATTTTCTCCTTTGTTTCAACCCTGGTGAATCTAACGATTATGTGCCTTGGGGTTGCTCTTCTTGAGGAATATCTTTGTGGTGTTCTCTGTATTACCTGGAGTTGAATATTGACCTGCTTTGCTAGTTCAGGAAAATTTTCCTGAATAATATCCTGAAGGGTATTTTCCAGCTTGGATTCATTCTCTCTGTTGCATTCAGTTACACTTATCAAATGTAAATTTGGTCTTTTCACATAGTCCCACATTTCTTGGAGACTTTGCTCATTCCTTTTTATCCTTTTATCTCTAATCTTGTCTTCTTGTTTTCTTTCATTAAGTTAGACTTTGACCTCTGTTATCCTTTCTTCTGCCTGAACAATTCGAGTGTTTAAACCTGTGCATACTTCTCGGAGTTCCTGTATTGTATTCTTCAGTTCCATTAATTCACTTATATTCCTCTCTAAGTTGTCTATTCTCAATAGGGTTTCATCAAATCTTTTTTCAAAGTTCCTAGTTTCTTTATATTGGGCTACAACATGTTCTTTTAACTCACAGAAGTTTCTTATTATCCATTCCTTGAAGAGTGATTCTGTCATTGGGATGCGCTTGTTCTCTGTCAAGCCTTGTTCCATTGTTGATGTGGAACTGTGATCATCTTTAGAGGGAGAGGCATTCTGATTTTGAGTATTCTCAGCCTTTTTATGCTGGTTTCTTCCCATCATTGTAAATTTATCCTCCTGTCATCTTTGAAATTACCAACTTTCAGATTAGGTCTCTTAAGTGGACGTCCAAGTTGTTAGTTCCCAGGGCCAGAATGGCGGTGTTAAGACTGATGGTGCTTTTCTGCCTAGGATTCTCCTGTCTGGCTTCCTTCTTGTGTCCGTAATGGGCGACTCTGCCTTCCCCGGGCTCCAAACCTCGGTCAGAAGGGGAACCAGTCTCGTTTACTCCGCATCGAGAGCTGCTGCGCTGAGGTGCCGTCACAGCCCCTGCGCCGGTCTCAGAAGTCGTGCTGGGGACCCGTGTGGGTCCTCCAAACCTCGGTCAGAAGGGGAGCCGGCCCTGTTTACTCTGCTCCGAGAGCTGCCCCGCCGAGGTGCCGGGGAAACCACTGCGCCGGCTACAAGAGTCGCGCTGGTGACCCGTGTGGTTCCTCCACTGGGGATCTTCTGCTCCGTGAGTGACCAGAATTTGCCTGAAAGTGTGGTGTCCTCTAGTTCTCTGTGCTTTGACTGAGAGCTGAAATCCCGAGCTGTTATCGATCGGCCATCTTGGATCGTTCCTCCTATTTATATTTATTTATTTATTTATTTATTTAAAGTTGGCCAATCCTGGGCCTGAGAGTCTGGCCATGGGAGACCCCATCAGCCTGTTACCTTTGCCTCCAGGTAGAAAGAGAGTAATCTAAGGATTTGTGCAAGTCTGCATTCCTAGGCGAGTTTGTGTAACTGATTGCCAAACTGGGGAGGAAGGCTGTGGAAGAGGCCGTGGAGGCCCGCTCACCAGCCCTGGGCTATTGGCCAGAGATGCACTCACGCTCCTGCCTGTGACCCAGCAGTTGACGGTTAACTGATATGGCAACATTATATGGCTTTACCAATGAAAAAGTGAAGGCATATCTTTCTCTTCACCCAAGGTATTAGTTGAATTTGTATCTGAAAGTGTTAGTGCAGAAAGAGTAGAGAAATGGCTGAAGAGGAAGAACAACAAATCAGAAGACCTGCCAACGCCCCAGGCCGTCGAGCCCCAGGTCATTGTGCAGGGCACCCCAGCCCCCAGTAGAATGCAGATGCCGCAGGGGAACCTACTGCTGCTGTCCCACAGCCCACAGGAGCTGCTGGCCCGGGACACCATGCAGGTGGAGCTTATTCCAGAGAAGAAGGGCCTCTTCCTGAAGCATGTGGTGTATGAGGTTTCCAGCCAGGGCTTCAAGTCCTCCGTGTACAGATGGTATAACGACTTTGTGGTCTTCCAGGAGATGCTTCTGCACAAGTCCCCCTACCGGGTGGTGCCTGCCCTGCCACCCAAGAGGATGCTGGGAGCTGACAGGGAGCTCATCGAGGCCAGGAGGAGAGCTCTGAAGCGCTTTGTCAACCTGGTGGCACGGCACCTCCTGTTCTCCGAGGATGTGGTTCTCAAGCTCTTCCTGTCCTTCAGCGGCTCGGATGTGCGGAACAAGTTAAAGGAATCAGCAGTGTTTTGGAGACGAATTCATGAACTGTAAGCTGGCTACCAGGGCTCGGTTTGCCATTAGCTGGGAGCTGATCCGGAACATCTACAACAGCTTTCACAAGCTTCGGGACAGGGCTGAGGGCATCGCGTCGAGGGCCATCGACAAGGTGGCAAATCTTCTCATATTCGGGAAGGAGCTAAGTGCCATAGGAGCTAAGTGCCACTGCCCTCCTGCGCCACTATGAACAGCAGCACGTGGGGATCCCTGAAGCAGGCTCTGAAAGGCCTTTCTGTGGAATTCGCACTGCTCGCCGACAAGGCTGCACAACAGGGTAAGCAGGAGGAGAATGACGTGGTGGAGAAGCTGAACCTCTTCTTGGATCTGCTGCAGTCATATAAGGACCTGTGTGAGTGGCACGAGAAGGGTGTGTTGCACAAGCACCAGCGGGTCTTGCACAAATACAGCCTGATGAAGAGGCAGATGATGAGCGCTGCCATGCAGAACTGCGAGCCGGAGTCTGTGGAGAAGCTGGAGTCCCGCATTGTGGAGCAGCAGAATGCGATTCAGACCATGGAGCTGCGAAACTACTTCTCCCTGTACTGCCTGCACCAGGAGATGCAGCTCATCCATCTCTACCTGCCCCTCACCTCCCACATCCTCCGTGCCTTCATGAACTCGCAGAACCAAGGGCACAAGGAGATGAGCAAGGTGTGGAACGACCTGAGACCCAAGCTCAGCTGCCTCTTTGCGGGACCACACATTGCCCTGACCCCACTGCGTTCCCCGCTGCAGTCCCTGCCAGAGGATGGCCTATGTCCTCACTAGCACGAGGGTAAGGCAGTGCTCCCTGTGGCCACACTAAAACCTCTTTCAAAAAAAAAAAATCTAATGCTTTTAAATAACATTTTTCTAATATTTTTAAGCTCCCTAAATAATTGCTGTGGTTCACAAAGAAGCCTGCAAACCACAGGACCACGATCACGAGGTAGGGAGAGACTGGAGCCCCACTGACCTCTCTGCTCTGTGGCCCTGGATGGGGTGGCAGGAGCAGTGAGGTTTAAAGGAGTTACCTTGCTCAACCAACTCTTCCACTCAAATACCATCTCTGCTTGGTGCCCATTGTGTAGAGGTGGTGCATGGAACTGGTGGAACACACAGCAGCTCTGTGTGGGAGCTGTGGGAGAAGTGGGAGCTGCAGTGAATCTCCCCAAGTTTCACCGAAAGTCCCCTCACCCCCTCAGGTGAGAAGCAGCCAGACACATTTCTAGCCTTATGTTAGTGGCGTATCTTCTTCCTGTTGCAGACAGGACAGGGAAGAGCCATATAGAGCACAGTCATTGTGGGTCCCCTAACGCTGCTCACCCAGAATAACATGGTGCTAATACACCCTTCTTCAGAATACCATCACTCCCAAAGAGCACATTAAACATGTGAATTAGCATCAGGGGAGTCATTCATTGCTAAACCCCAGGGAATGTGCATATTTAGCTAATCCCTGGGAACTGGGCAGGGCGGGTAGTCGGTACTGATATCCAGACCTCAGGTGCCTTCTCTGATGATCAGAGATGGGGCTTTCCCACATAATCTTGCAGCACGCTGGGGTCCTGGATCCTTCCAGCAGTGTAAGGTTGAGGAGGAGAAGGTATGAAATAGTTATCTGCAGTAGTGGGAGAGTGAATGGGCCAGACAGCACCAGGGCCTCACTGGACTGACTTGAGGTTCAAGGCCATGAATTTGGCCATGACAGTGGGTTGTTTTTTTTCTAGCCAGTCAGCCATGCTTCTGAAGGTGGGAGTAGCAGCAAAGAGTTGATCTTGGCTGGGCTTGCCATTTGCTGAGTAAGCCCAAAGAAGGGAGCTTTGGGTGTATGGGAGAGACTGATGACAACAAAGAGCATGGAACTGAAACAGCGTGCCACATGAAAAGACGGGAGGATGAACTCAGGCTCGATTCCTCCACCTGTGAGTTGTGTGATGTTAGAGAAATTCCCTAAGTTCTCCAGCTCTCTCTTTTCTCATTTTGCGAAGTGGGCATCAAAGCACCCTTCCCATGGGGTCATTACGAGCATAAAGGATGAGGTTTGGAGGGCACATGCTTCCAGTCTGTGAAGTGCCCTGGAAAAGGTGGGTGCGACTCGGGGGTTTGAGTGTGGCCTGACAGGCAATTTGTGTGCACGAATGTTGACCGGAGCATCCCCAGGCAGCATTGAGCTGGATCCGAGCTCCTGTGGTCACTCCACGTTCCCTGGCTCCTCCCCTCCTGCAAAGCCACCTGAGCCACCCTCTCTCTGGGAGGCCCTCACGGGTATCTCAGATGTTTTCACAAAGATATCTGCTCTTGTGCAGCTTGGCTGCTGCTGCAATGGACTCCCCTGGTACTTTTCTGCTCTTCTAGTTGAAAGGCCAGAGATCAGCGCCTGGCCTTGTGGCCTCCCAGGATGAAGCGGGGATGAAGTTCCTCCCAGGCGCCTCCTCAGACTCCCATCAACAGGTTCAAAAAGGTCTAGCCAAACCCCTCAGGCTCTGCACAGAGAGGCACACTCCTCCAGGCACACTCCTCTCTCGGTGCCTTTGAATGGCAGGGCGAGCATCGCGACTTTGCCTGTGGCCAACCAAGCCTCAGCTTCCTGTCAACTCCTCCCCTATACCTAAGATGCAGAGTCCTGTGGGAAAAAAACATCAAAAATGACCCTCTTCTGCCCCTGTGGAGTGATAGGCTCCAAGCGCACCCCCTGCACCCCCTGGTGCTCTCTCCATGGTCCTTGGCTGGCTCTTCTCACCTGTACAGCAATTTATTGCCTCAGACCTCCATCCCTGCTCCTTTCCCGCTTCCCCTGCCTAAGGTGGATCCTTGCATGCAACTGCGGACTTCTCAGAGATGTGTGTGCACTAACTATCCCTTCCCTCATTCGGGGTTGCACCTCTGTATGTGGGTTCCTTCCCACAGTGTCTCAATAAACTCAAGATACTTCCATCAGTGTCTCAATAAGCTCAAGTCTTGTCCACCTTAAAAATCAAAGTCAAACCTCCTTCTCATTTTACCCAGTAGAGCAGTCTTCCTGTTCCTGGGGAGATGAGACAGACTCACCCACGCAGCACCTGGAGTTGGGCCTCTGATTTTGTGCGGATGCCTCCTAAGTCACTGACTACTTCCCACATCTCTTCCAAACCAGCATCCCACAGTCTGGCTGCCTGCTGGATGTGATCGTCCAGACGTCTCACGGGCACATCAAAATCTGGTTTCAAAACCAGGTTTCGGCAAGGCGCGGTAGCTCATGCCTATACTCCCAGCACTTTGGAAGGCTAAGGCGGGCAGATCACGAGGTCAGGAGATGGACACCATCCTGGCCAAGATGGTGAAATCCTGTCTCCACTAAAAATACAAAAAAGTAGCTGGGTGTGGTGGCGCATGCCTGTAGTCCCAGCTACTTGGAAGGCTGAGCCAGGAGAATCATTTGAACCCAGGAGATGGAGGTTGTGGTGAGCCAAGATCTCACCACTGCACTCCAGCCTGGCCACAGCGAGACTCAGTATCAAAAAACAAAAACAAAAACACAGATTTCTCCCCTTCCCTCACACAAAAGCCCCCCACCACCTCTCCCCGGTGTGACCCTCTCACTGGGGTATGCCATCATCCTCACCATTGCCAAGACCCCCCAGCTCTTCTCTGGACTATTTCATGAGCTGCCATCCCACTCTGATTGCTGCTGAGATCCTCTCTCACCTGACCTGATGGCCGCAGCATCCTCATGCCCTCCATCCTCTGCCAGGTGCATGCTCAGTCCCATCCCGTAGGGCAGAGGAAACAGGCAGCTCTCCAAATCCCGTCAGGCCTTTCCCTGCTCAAAAGACATCGATGGCTCTTCAGCCACATGAGGATAAAGTGCAGGTTGACACCTGTCCATACCTGCAGTCTGTGCTCCAGGGGCTGTGAATGCCATTCAGCTTCTGGAAGGTACCGTGCCCCGCTTGCAGAACCACTTGCTCTGCCTAACACTCTGACCTCCGCTCCTCCCCTGCCTTTCCCTGTGTCCCTGAGCTGAGACCTCACTTTTGCACTGGACTCCTCCTCAGGGCTTCCACGGCCCCATTCATATCACCAGTTACAGCATCGTTCCCGTGTTAACCACCAGTCTCCCCTACAGCCTATGAGCCGCATCGGTGAAGACAGCATCTCTGTTTTGTGTAATTTTGACTCTCTGGTCAGTCCCAACAATTTGTGGAGTGCCTGGGTGGAAGGGTGTGTGGATGGTCAGAGCTCAGGCTGGTCTGATCCCCAGCAGGGACCCAATTTGCTTTCTCTAAGACACCCCCAGCCCTTGAACAAATGTTCTGGTTTCCAATCAAGTGTGGCCTCCCAGCTCACCAGACACCTGTGCCAAGGTGGCATTCAGCTTTTCTTCCCACAGGGTGGAAGAAACTGCCTTTGACACAGTAATAAACTTCCTCCCTTTGTGGTCACTCTCTTCCTTTCTCCCAAAACGAAGTTCCTTCAGACACGGCCCAATTTCAGCACTTCTCATTCCCCCAAGCACCTTTATCCATCAGTTATACCCTCAGCCTCTTTTCCTTCTCCACTTCTGCCCTGCTTGAAAACACATCCTGCATCCCCCTCTGAAAAAAACTCCTAGGTGACCCTTTTATGCCCCCAAGTTACCGCCTCATTCCTTACTTCATTTTTTTTAACTAGAGATGAGGTCTCATTATGTTGCTCAGGCTGGTTCCCAACTCCTGAGCTCAAGCGATCCTCACTCCTCAGCCTCCCAAAGAGCTGGGATTATAGGTGTGAACCACCAAGCCCAGCCCCTCCGTTCACTCTTGACCAGAGGTCTCAAGATGAGTGGCCTACATCTGCCACATCTGTTGCTTCTCTGCCCACTTGATCTGCACACCTGGCTATAGCCCCACACTGCCAGGGCCTGCCTGTTTCTTCCCCTCACACTGCTGGGTAGCTCCTAAAGGGCAGCATGGGTGCATGGGTTGTAGGACGGTACAGTTGTAGATTCAAATTCCAGCTGCGCATGTGTCTGGCTGAGCCACCTGGTGCCAGTCACTTTCTGTTCATGAGCCTCGGTTTCCTCATCTATTAACTTGGACAGATAGCAGTTCCTCGCACAGAGTTGCATAGAATTAATGAAATAATGTACTAATGTGCACACTATGTGTTCCCCATAGTCATCCTAGCCATCCTGACCCCATTCTGTTCCTTTTTTTTTTTGAGATGGAATCTCACTCTGTCACCCAGGCTGGAGTGCAGTGGCGCAATCTTGGCTCCCAGCAACCTCTGCCTCTCGGGTTCAGGCGATTCACCTGCCTCAGCCTCCCTAGTAGCTGGGAGTACAGGTATGTGCCATCACACCTGGCTAATTTTTTGTTTTTAGTAGAGATGGGGTTTCACCATGTTGGCCAGGCTGGTCTCAGACTCCTGACCTCAGGTGATCCGCCTGCCTCAGCCTCCCAAAGTGCTGGGATTACAGGCATGAGCCACCATGCCTGGACCATTCTGCCTCTTAAAGCCCTCTCCCTACAGGAAGTTCAGTGATGCTGCACTACCTCAGTGCAGCTTACAGGCTCTCTTTTGTCCCTCTTAACAGCTCCAAGGTCAGCTAACATCCACGGAACCCTTACTATGAACCAAGCAGCGTCCCCCCATTTTACTTTTTCAATATATGTAGCTTTTGCTATAGATCCTATAATAGTACCCACTTAACACATGGAGGTATTAAGGCACAGGGAAGGTAACAATGACCCAGGAACATACAAGCAACAAGGGGCAGAACAAATCCCAGCAGTCTGGCTCAAGCCCCCAGGCTGTCTCCAGTCCTGTGAGTGATCCAGGCAGGGTCTTTGGCTTCTCTTT